CACTAATCCATACATAAGGATTCTTGCCACCACATATTGACTTGGTTTTAAAACGGAATGTGATCTTTTATTGTATTTTTCTTTATTTTTAAAACTATTTCCTAATTCCATTTGAATCTGATTCAGGCCATCCTCAGAAATGTTGGGGGCTACATGTGGCTGTTAGGCAGTGTGTCTGACACTTCCCTTATAGACCAATTTGAAATGAAAAAAAGAGAACAAAAACACCTCTTAACCCAACTGGCTCACTCTCCAAAGCCATCTACTTCAATCCCAGCTCCCCCGGAGAAAGCAAATGTTTACTTGAGTGTCAGGATGCTTCCCAGGAATCTCAGAGAGATGGCAAGCTCAGAGAAAGAGAGCATTAGGACAGATTTTAACTTTCAGGTTTCCCAAAATGCCCCTCTTTTCCTCCTACCCCTTCCCTCCTTTATTTTATTACTATTAAATGTTTCCATTTCTTTCATTTCCATTTTCAAGAGACATTTCATGGTTGGTCCAGTCCATGTTTTCTGGTTGGCTCTCCTCCCTCCCATCTGTCTTTAGCTACCTGTCCTAGGACAGATGTTTCAAGTCGTGTCCAAGTTCTGACACTCCTTTCCCCAAATATCCACAGAACACACCCAGATGAATGCATATTTCAGAGGATGCATGTTTTTCTGGAAGTCACTGGAATTGGGTCACAGTAAGCAGGAATCGACAAGAGTCAATTTTCATTTTCCCAGGCTCTTGGGTCATATGCTATGACGTCCTTGATCCTAGGGAGCATGGAATATTATCTCAAGCTCTTTTAGATGAGAAGGACCTTGAAGGTCACCTAATTCAACCTCCTACCCATAAAAGAAACCCATGGACAAGTTCGGTAACAGGTTGTTGTTCCAAATTGTGTCTGGACATTTTCAGTGAAAGAGACCTCAGCACCTCACAAGGCAGTCTGTTCTACTTTTAGACAGCTCTGATCATTAATAAGTTCTTCTGACTCTTCAATTTTCACTTGTGTTCTTGGCATTTCTACTCATGTGACCTAATTCTGTCCATGGGAGAAGCAACTTTCATTCCCTGTTCCTCTGCTTCCGCACCTGAACTACTGGGGAGCTTCTTCAGCTCCTTTTTCCGGGAAAGTGTAGATTCCCAAATAGCAGCCTGGGGATGCTGCAACCTCTTAGCCCAGCTCCTGGAAGGAAATGCCCTGTTGGAAGCAGCTGGCTCTACCCAATCAGAATCCACCTGAAATCCACCTGAGGATACCAAATGCTAATTCCCCCGTCATAAATGAGAATAGTAGACATTGTGGTGGTATAGATATACATATATATTATGCATATGTATAGTATGCATATATATATATAAAACTTTATTGAATAGTTGTTGTTAGTGTCATGTCACACCACCTATAGGATTATTTAGTTCAGACTTTTTTCAGCATTGCAAAGAGATTGCACAAAATGGTGCTTTTCAAAATAAAGATTTTTTTTCTTTACAATGAACTTTGAAAATAAATGCATATGAATGGTAAAAAGCATTGACAAAATGAGTGCTAGACTACAAATACAGTATCATACCTTAAAACAAGACCAATAATTAAAGACCATTGTATACACTTTTTGGGACACCATTTGTACCAAAGAAACAATGGCAACCCTCTGAATGTTTGGGGAGGGGGAAGAAGGGAGTGGGCCATTCAAGGAAATCCAGAAGTCTCAAAGGAGTAAGAATGAAATTGTAGAATACGTGGGCCAGGAATGACGGTTTCCCAACATTTCTCAGTTCTTTATCATTTAGAAACAACTGGAGCATATGGACAGTAGATACTGCATGAATTGCAAAGATTATTTTCTTTCTACTCAGTGAGTGGAAGTTGGGTCTAGACCTGCACACTCACTTTAGGCTCCATGGCAAGAGTCATGCTCCGGGGCAATGAATGCTCTTGGTTCAGGACCCATGGAGTCCAATGACCTCTTTCAAGTTCCAAACTCCATCCTCTCAAGGTATCACTAAAGCAAATCCACTCCAAAGGTCAATCAGTCTGGATGGTTGGGGTTCATATTGATCTTTAAAATGTCCTGATAAGTGACTGATTTTCATTTTTCAACCAGACATTTGGGCATCATCTAGGCCTTAGTGAAATGAGCAAGCACTGGATTTGGAAACTGAGGAGCTGGGTTTGAATCCTATCTCTACCACTTAACACCTGTGTGAACCTCAGGAAGTCATTTAACCTCCATGGATTTCCATTTCTTCATCTGTAACATGTCAGGGGATGAATGAGATGACCTCAAAGGTCTCTTCCAGTTTAGCCATCCTCTGACCTTGTGTGAACTGACTTCAAAAAAACCCCCAGAAGAATCCTATTACTATGACCTTTTGCATTTTTCAAAGCACTTTCCCATCTACTATCTCAGCTAATCCTCATAAAAGCCCCACGAGAAGGGGAGATATTACTATCCCTAGTCTACAGATCAGATGAGGTCATCCAGAGATGTTAAATGATGTACTTATGGTCACATGGCCAGTTGGGAGCAGAGCTGGGCCTGGAACTTGAATCTTTTGACTCCCAGTCCGATACTGTTTCTATCACAAGAGTCACCATACAGCAATCCCAACATCAACATAGGATATTTTTCTGATCGCTCTAGGAGGAATCAATGTCTCCAAATGTAAGTCTGTACAATATTAGAAGTTAGCCTAGAAAGGAATTGGAAAAGAAAAAAAAAAGTCTACGTGGATTGTTTGACCCATGGAGATCCAATGAGGATATTTTGTGTTGGGCTTCATTCTTCACCTAGAATAACTTTTAAGATTCGTCTTTGCTCTCTATTCCTACAAAGACCAACAGAAACTGGAACCTTGGTTTAAAATTTTCCCAGAGCTTCAATAGTCCTGCTCTCACATGTCAACTCCTCTGGACAAAGAATGAAAAAATTCTGCCAATTACTTAAATATTTGACATTATATGGACAATGCATGCAGGTCATTGACATTTCGAGGTTTTGTCAGAATGCTTTAACTTAATGCAAATACAAAATCAATGTGCCTCCTCAGGGTTGTCACAAATGCACCAGGTTCTTACTGGATGAAAGTGGGAATGGAAAGATGCCACAATAATGGGGTGAAATGGGAAAACTCAAGGTAATCAACAAGTTGTTGGATCCCCGCAACACCCAAATCTCTTTGACTATTTGATCATTGGCTTGACTCAATTGACCAATTGTTTTGATTGCATGTGGACATAGCCTAAAAGCATGAGTTCATAAGCGATTTTGTGTGTGTGTACATGTAGACACACTTTTCTAAAAGCTAGCCAAAGTAATAACTGTTTTTTTTTGTTTCCTCTGAAGAATGGTCTTTTCAGACTTGGTTAGTCCTTGGATTGCAAGGACAAATTCATTTTTCATTTGTATGTTTAGCACCAGTTAATCAGAGTCACCAAATTCTTTCCTGCAGAAAGCAGGAAAGAGAGTAGTACAGTGATAGCACAGTCTAGATTGATAGGCGTTATACATGCTGGGCACATAAGGGGTGTCAAGGAATCCTTGTTGGTTGAAATCATGGGAAATTAGGCAAATCCTCCAACCACCCAGGGCCTTAGCTTCCCACCCTCTAAAAAGAGGGACCTGGACTAAATGACCCTTCAGTTCTGATATTCTTCGGAGGCCCTCAGTGGGTAGTCTGAGCTCCACACACCTATTGGCCACTCTGCTCTGTAATGAAGGGCATGGAGTAAAGGAAAGTTTGGAATTGCAAAAGCTCAAGGTGTTAGACACACTTGCAAGTCAATGCTTCACTTTCTTCATTCTGCAAACTGCCCTCCCCTAACTCCATCAATAAACCAAAATACAGCTCTCTGAAGGATTGAAGTGATAGCACACCCTGGCTCTGCAATGTTCTCAAGCCTTCTCCCAGGCTCTGTGAGCTTTCTCTCTCCCTGTTCAGGTTTTGAACTCAGTCTAGGCTCAGGTGATGAAACTATCATTTCAATCCTACCCATGAGCAGCTGTGTCCCATCAGTCAGAACTTCAACATTCAACTAAAACCTTTTTATTAGGGGCATTCATGGGTTTAGGAAGAGAGGGATACCCTGTTGGAACTAAGAGGGAAGAACTGAAAAGGTTAGACACTAGTTAGGAAGAACAAAAACAAGAGGGTGCCAGGGCACTCCCATGGGATCATGCTAGCTAGAGCCCAGCAGCATCCACACTGGAGTGCTGGCCAGGTTAACTAACACCTGGATCAATCATCAGGCACTCACGAACTTCGATGTCAGAGGTAGACCGGCCTCCTTCCTTCTCTCTCTGCACTGTTATCCCTAATTTTCCATTGGTCTAGGGCATCTTGGATCACTGGATTGGGAGCAAGGCATTCCGACCTTTTCTGATTCCTGTTTAACAGAGACACCGCTTTTCTTTTCCAGTGTTTCAGAGTGATCAAATCTATTACACCAAGTCACCACAAAGAATACAGAAACCATCCATGGCATTGGTAAGATTTTCCTATGCCATAAAGACTCTGAAGACATGTTGCTAATGGCAGGCACATTTTGGGAGGAGACAGGGGTGGCACTGGCTGGTACTGCTAACATCTTAGAAAACTAAGAGAATCATGAAAGATTGGCTGAGAATTGGGGCTCAATTCCACACGATAGAGTATATCTATACCCAGATAAATAGAGTATGTCCTCTTTTCCCTGGTGGTCTGGGATGAAGGGAGATTTGAATTGGCAGAAGGAAGAGTCCCTCATATGGGTTTGTCATTGTACCAGGGCTTATCACTGTTCCAGACTCCTAAAGCTATGCTAGTGTGGGGAACCTGAGGAAAACCCTTAGCACAAATGACATGGACCATATTGAGGGACCAACATGGAGAAAGCAAGGAGATTAAGAGGTTGAAAGAAATGGCCTAATTGCATATATGTGTATATATACACACAGAATATATATATATATATATATATATATGTATGTATGTGTGTATATATATATATATATATACACACACACACATAGATATATACATAGATAGATATATACATAGATAGAATCAAGAAATACTCAGTAAGGTTGCTGTTTATAACATACATGACACAAAGTAGAAACATCATGAAAACCAAGCTTTTCTGGAGGATTTAGAAGTTCGTTGTCTATATTTTAAATATACATGTGTGTATATACATATACACACATATATCTATATATATATGGATATGGATACATGTCTGTACATAATGGGAAGGATATATGCACACACACACACACACATACAAGAATCCCCCACTGAACCTATCTATGGTGAACCTGATGCTGCCCAAGTCCAGTCAACTTGGAACCAAGTGAAACTCCTGCTTTATCAGCAGACTGAATTCTGAGAACCTCTCAGCTTCCTGGAGGCTGGTGTTGGACCATTCTGAAGTCCACCGAGAGAAAAGACCCTCTGAGTGTATGACAGAGTTGGGGGACCCATTGCTGGTGACTGGGGGCAATTGGCCTTAATGAAGACTACAGGATGAAGACCCATGGATGTCAAAGGGGGTTAGGGAAAAAGGCTATTGTCAGCACAGGATTCGGGAGTAATAAGCAAACACCCATAGAATAGCTTTTAGCTTTAGGCACAATGCACTAGTATCAGCAAATCTTTATATAGCTCAGCTCTAGGCACACTTAAGGTGGAGACAAAGGAGGAACTTTTCCTCCCTACACCTTGGGTTCCAGAGAGCTAGTCACAGCCTTTAGTGGAAGGTCATTCTGAAGCACGCTCCGGAGAATAATAAGTGGCTTCCAAAGGAGGGATTAAAAAGCAACAGAGAAGGCTAGAGATACTTGTTTGGGTTCATATCTGTACCGAGAAGGCAAACCTTTGCATATGGCACCATTCACAGTAGTATCATTAATATTATTAAAGCAATCATTCTAACCATCATACCGGTATGTTTCTATATACAAAAATAGACCGAAGCAATTCTCCACAGAGAGGAGCAAGTGAGTTGGGCAGGGCTGCTGGGCAGTACATGCCTGTCTGGTCCAGAAGATTCAAGACTGACCCAGGACCTGCAGCACAGATGACTTTAGTGCTCTTGAGTCATCTCCTGCCTTTGGCATTCATGCAGAATGTGTGAATTTTCCCCTCTTATTCTTCCCTGACCACCCCACCCGCACCTGAAACATACACCTGCACAGCCACTTTGGAGGGCAGGAGCTGTATGGATGAAACAGGTAAGTAGCAAACCAGGCTGGAGCTCCTCTTTTTGGAGAAGGTGGCCTCCACCTCAGAATCCTTTTGTGAGCTTCAGGTTCACTAGGAGGGGAAAGCTGCAGCACTGGGGAATTTCTCCTCCCAGTAGCCCTCAATAGGAGCCTATCCCTGCAGTTCCTCCACAGAGTATGACCTTGACCAATTGGAGAATCGTAGAGGCAGTCTCTCTCACAAGTAAGGAAGTTTAGCTTGGGTACTTTAAGTTCAATTTAGGAAAGAGGGATGTACACCCTGTATTACACACCTGGGACCTTGGACTTTTGAATCTGCAAGTTTTCTTTTTCCTTGAAATTTGGTTCTGAGCTACCAGGTGTGTTGGCCAGTGCCTCTGCAGAGGCTCTGGGGCGTGGGTGGGGGGGGCACTGCCAGTTTGGGGAACCATAGGAGAGATGACACAGCGAGGTCTCCTTTTGGGGTCCTTGTTTTCAATCTTCCAACAGGCCGCCCTTGGTCACCAAGACGGGCAAATAGTGATGCTGTCTCCTTCTAAGCTACTGTACCAATGAGCTGCAACCTTGGCCCTGCCAACAGGGCTGTCCACGAGTGATGCTTAACACTTCATAAATGTATAGGTGTCCAACAGACATTGGACAGTGATCATTGACTCACTTCTCCCTGATTCTTGAACAGTAGATAAGTGGAGGCTGTATTTTGCCCCTGCTAACGGGAGGCCAGGTGAGAAGACGCCTGAAGTGGTGCCAGGAAAGAGCACCGGTCTGGGAGAATGGAGGTCCGTGTCCTCACCCCAGCTCTATCACAACTGTCCCGTGTGACCTTGGGCATGCTACATCCCCTTTCTGGGGCTCTGTTTCCTCGTCTGTCAAATGGGTTGCAAGATCTTTAAAGTCCTTTTCAGCCCTAAGTTCTGTGGTTTTATAATTACATCCACAGAACATGAATCATGCAGTCTTAGGGCTATTAGTATCTAGGGAAGGGCTATGTGTTCCACCCTTTACTGCCCAAGGCCATCGTGTTTGGGGAGGGGGGAAAAGGACAAGACTCCAGCTGACCAAGCCTGGATTACTTGATCCTGATCCCATATGCCTTGAGATGTGTGGGTATGGTGGGTGCAGTGCATGTACACACACACATACTCATACATCTGGGTTTCAGGCAGGCTTCTTGGTAAATATATCACATGAATCCTTCTTTTTTTGTACGACTGGGTAATAGCACAGCAAGGGGAAGAAAGCAGAGGGAAGGCATTTGGGAAAACCCCACTCCTGAAGGTGCTAGAGAAAGAGGCGGGGAGGGAAGAAGGCATGAAGAAGAGGTGGGGGGAGGGAGCAGGGAGGCAATGAGGAGATGGGTGAGGAGAGAAGAGGAGGGGTGACGGTGTTGGGCTGGGACAAGGGGCGGCAAAGGAGATGTGGGAAAAGGAAGGGGATTGAAAAGCCAATGAGAGGAGAAAGGATCAGGGAAGGGATGAGGAATCAGGTTGGGTAAGGGAGAAGACAAGGGATTAGGGAACTGAGAGGAGATGAGGGAGCATGGAGGGGTTGAGGGATGGAGAAGGAAATGTGGAATGAGGGGGGATGAGGTATGAGAGAGTGAATGAGGGAGAGTGAGGGGATAAAGGAAAAATCAAGAGATGAGGGATGAAATGGAGTAAGGGAGGGGATTAGGGAACTGGGAAGGGATGAAGAAGGAGGTGGGGGGAAGGGAAAGAATAAAGGGACAGAGAGAAGATGAGAGATGGGAAAAGGGATGTAGGATAAGGGGGGATAGAGAGAAATGAAGGAGGGGAGGGGATGAAAGAGCAGGGAGGAAGATGGAGGAAGAAGGGAAAAAGGAGAGGATGATGGGGCAAGTTGAGAATGAGAGAGTGGAGTGCAGATGATGAAGAGAAAGAATGAGAAAGGCAAGGACCAAGAGAGGGGAAGTAGGAAGGAAGAAAGAACAATTAGATTAGGTACTCCCTGGATGCTTGCTGTGTGGCCCCATGTTACTCTTTGAAAGCCATCTCTTCTCAGGAGAAAGCCCCCGAAGGCACTGGGGAAATGAGTCTGGTGTGGAAGAAGGCCATGTCAGGGAGCCTCCTGCTTGCCACACAGTGCTGAGGAGGCCATGGGCAGATGGCCAGAAGCTGGCTCAATTTGTCTTCAATGTGCAAGTCCCACGTCTTTGGATCATCTGATTTTTAATTTATTTTTTGCTTTGGGGCAGAAAAAGTTGAGAGGTAAGTGGGGGGTGGGGAAGCTAAGGGAGGAGTGGGGGGGTACAGAGAGCCAATGAAGGAAGGACAAGCTGCCTCGGACTCAAGATGCACTTGGCCCACCCCATGGCATGGCAGGATTGATGGGGGCAAGCCCTTGAGTCCTGGCTGGTTGGTTTCTCTGACCCCCACCCTTCCTTCCTACAGAGTGAAGGGTGAGGGGGAGAGAAGGGGCTGGGTGGAGGCTGCAAGGCATTTACACTGGCTTCTCCATGGCCCTGGGGAAGGCGGCTCCACTGGAAGAGGAGATCTTCCTGCAAACGGTGTTGGTGTGGCTCTTGCATCGGCATCCTGGCCTCCGTAGGCCGTCATAGCCTTGCTGGCACAACTTCAGGCATCCTCGGGCTGGAGGGTACAAGCACAGGCAAGGCATGACCAGTGATAGGAGGCTCATGGCTGCCCAGCGGGCACAGCAGGAGCCAGGCCCGCAGGAGCAGGGCTCATCAGCGCAGTTATCTTCGTCATCAGTGGAACAGTGGTAAAAGATACCCTTGACGCAGCAGAGGCACGTGCTGTAGTCGAGGAGGCTCTCTGGGGAGCAGAGGCAGCGCTGCTTACAGAGCCAGCAGGAGGGGAGGGTGCGTGTGGCTGTGCAGCGGATGCACTTGCAACGGCCACACTCTTCACAAATAAAGAGGTGCCCACCAGTATGGAGGGACAGCTTCTCTGCTGCACCTTTCTGAGACTCATCCACTTTCAAAGCCCCTGCCTGAGGCTGGGTACAGATGAGGGAGTGATCTGAGGGTGATGGAGTGATGCTGGTCAGAAGCCTTTGGTCAGAGGTGATGGTGGTGTGGGATATGGAGCTGGCAAGGCTGGGTTGGCTCAGATGCTGAGGCAACAGCTGAAGCTGGTGGCATTGGCTGAGACTTCGAGGCAGATCAGAGGGTATGGTAGACAGGGACCAATCGGACTTGTGGGCCTGCTGGGCAAGGGAAGAGCTGGAGAGGGTCTGTTGGCAGGAGATGGCAGGCCGTTCCACATACTCATTGCTGACATGAATGGAGCAGAGTTGCTCAATGGGCAGGGTTGGAGGAAAATCGTCTGTTATTGGGGCATCCATGTTGTCTTGGCTCTTGACTTCTTTGGAGTTGAGTGAGGGTGGCACTCTGGTGGTAAAGAGGAGGGAGGGCTTGCAGTTATGTAGGCATCAGGGCACATCTGAAAAGCCTTAGGGAGAAAAGGGGAGGGAGGGAGAGAGAAAGAGAGAGAGAGAGAGAGAGAGAGAGAGAGAGAGAGAGAGAGAGAGAGAGAGAGAGAGAGAGAGAGAGAGGAAAAGTGGGGAGAGCAAGAGAGGGAGGAGAGAGAGGAAGAAAGAGGGATGGAGGGAGAGAGAGATAGAGGGAGAGAAGAGGTGGAAATGGAAGAGAAGGAAGAAGAAGAAGAAGAAGAAGAAGAGAAGAAGAAGAAGAAGAAGAAGAAGAAGAAGAAGAAGAAGAAGAAGAAGAAGAAGAAGAAGAAGAAGAAGAAGAAGGAGGAGGAGGAGGAGGAGGAGGAGGAGAAGGAGGAGGAGGAGGAGGAGGAGGAGGAGGGAGGAAGAGAGGAGGGAGAGGGGAGGGAGAGAGAAGAGGAGAAGGAAATGGAAGAGGAGGAGGAGGAAGAAGAAGAAGGAGGAGGAGGAGAAGAAAGAGGAGGAGGAAGAAAAAGGGGAGGAAGGGAGAGAGGAGAGAGGAGAGAGAGAGAGAGAGAGAGAGAGAGAGAGAGAGAGAGAGAGAGAGAGAGAGAGAGAGAGAGAAGAGAAGAGAATGAGACCACATAGGCAGGACCATCACCAAAGAGTAAGAAGAGGCATAAGGCATGAGCAGGACCAGTTGCCCCTACACACCAAAGAATGAAAACTCAATAGAAGAAGAGGCAAGGGAATTGTATTCATAACCCACTTGTCATCCTCTGCTCTGCCCCTCTCCCCTATCTCTGATCACTTCTCAGCATTCATGTATTTAAGGACTGACATTTTATATTTCCCCTAGGGATAAGTGCAGCTTGTCTTCCCATTGAGATGCAGATTCTCACAACAGAACTGTGACATCTACCAAGAACTGGAAGAGATCTTAGTGGCTTCCTAGTGCAGCTACAATTTGGCACAAGCCCCTCCTGTCTAATAGCCTCTGCTGCACTGGCAGAAAGCTCTCCCTACAGAACAAGGTAGATGCCCTTAATTGTTAGAAAATCCCTCCTCATATTGAGCTAAATTTGCCCCTTTGCAAACTTTCCCACATTGCTCCTGGTTCTGCCCCCTTAGGCCTAACAGAACAAGTCCCCCTTTTCATAACTGCCCTTCAAATACTTGAACACAATCCTTGGGTCTCCCTGAATCTTCTCTTCTCCCTAGTTCTTTCAACGAATCTTTGTATGCTTTGGCCTCTGGACCCCCCACTATGCTGTTCGACCTCAGAGAACTTGACAATCTCCTTCCTGAAATGTGGTACCCAGAACTGAACACCATACTCTAGGTGAGGTCTCATCAGGAGGACAGTGGGACTCTTATTCTAGACAGTCTGCTTTTAGTCACACTGCTGGCTCATACTGAGTTTATAGTCTTTCTAAGCCCCCAGGTCTTTTCCAAAGGGACTGTTGTCTAGCCACAATTTTCCCATTCTGTACTTTGTACAGTTCATTTCTTGGAACCCAATTATGGGAATTTACATTTATCCCATTTGAATTTCATCTTGTTAGACTCTGCTGAGAGGTAAGTGGGGGTGGGGGTGGAGGTGGAGCATAGACTAGTGAGACCTTTTGAAATCCCAAATCTGTCATCCAATCAGTGTGTTTGCTCTTTCTTCCAGCTTCCTATCCCCATTTAATTTGATAAGTATGCCATCTATGCCTTCACCAAGTCAGTGACAAAAACATGTAAGAAGCAGAGCCAAGGACAGGTCCCTGGAGTGCTCTACTGAGGAACTCAAATCCCCATTATCATCATCCATTAATTACCAGTCCTTGGGGCTGATCCTACAAGGTCCGACAAACTCTATTATCATCTAGCCTGGTATCTCTCAATCTTGTCCACAAGGACAACATAAAAGATTTTATCAAGCATCTTGCTGAAATCTATGTGTATCACTGACATTTCCCTGATATACTAACTCAGTGGCCCTGTTCAAATAAGAAATAACATTATTCTAGCATGACCTGTTTTTGAAAAAGCCATGCTGGCTTTTGGTGATCATACCTTCCCTCTCTGAAAGATTTTGCCAGGAATGGAATGAAATCAAACTTATCATAGAGTATTTTGTCTAGTCATTTTATTTTTCCCTCCTCTGCCTGGCTGGGTTTACAGTAATGGGCGACACTGCTTGTCAGCTAATACATGCCATATTTTTCTGACCCTGCTTACCTGTAGTACCAGAACCCTAATAGAAAACTGGAAGAGAATTTGTTGGCAACACATGCAAAAGAGAGCCTACATCTCCCAAGAGCAGTGACCAAAGTACCTCCCATGACATAGGGCTTATTTAGTCAGGGCTAGAGCTGCAGACAGCAGAGGAGGACCCCCTGAGCTGACTCCAGCTAAAGAACTTTCAGAATAACCTCCCCTTCTAGAAATGGCCCTGGAGATGATGGCCGTGGTTATTTATTGTTAGTCATGGAGGCTGTAGCATTTCATTGGCTGGGCATTTGTCAGAAGAAGACAGGCTGTATCTGGAATGGGAGGTGATCTCTAGCCTTAGGAGGCTTTGTAGGAGTTTCTAATAGTGATAATGATAATAATAATGATGATGATGATAACAATAACAACAACAACAACAATAATAATTCTAAAGGACACTTACAGAGAACCCTTCAGGGTTACAAAGCTCTTTTCATTCTTTCTCACTAGGGCCTCTTAACAGTCCCCTGTGGGAGGTAGGGCAGGTATGATTCTTTCCATTTTAGAGATAAGGAAACTGAGTCTCATGCAGCTATAGTACATGAACCCATTTCTTTTGCCTCTTAAGTTCAAAATTCTTTCCACTCCTCCCTTGCTGTCTTTCCAGCTAATTAAAGCCTTGGCATGGCTATGATCCAGGTTCCTAAATCTCAGGATGCTGGAGGGAGCAGGGTTCTGCCTTCCCAGAATGCATGGTAACATGGATATTGATGGAATCTCTTAGGAATGTTTGGAAGGGGAGACTGTGGCAGCGTAGTGGTAGGGAAATAACAAGACACAGAGGAATAGAGACAAGGCCAGGTGGTGAGAGAGAACACTAGGACTATGAGCCAGGAGATCTGGGCACTGTCACCTTCTGCCTGCATTTCTGGGCAAGTCTCCCTGCATCTCTAATCTGCAGCATCCTCCTCTTTGAAATGAAATGAAGATAATAACCCTTGCATTGGGTACTTCAGAGGGTTGTCAGGAGGAGAGTACATTGGAAAGATGTGAGTGCTCTCTGTGGGTAGGGTGGCAGCAAAAGGATCCTAAGCACATTAGATCTTGCTTGTAGCAGAGACAGGACAAAGAAAATCAGGAGGTATGAGCTTGGAAAAAGGACTCGGTGGATGAGACTCTCATCTATTCCCAATGCTCAAGAAAGGAGAAATTGAGGCCCAGAGACATGATATGACCTGTGTACATATAGGTGGTAAGGGACAAAGCCAAGCCCCTAGTCAGGGCATTGGCCTCCTAAGTCCCATCTTCTTCTACAATATCAGTGTGCTTCTCGGCTGTCCCAGGCGCCAAATGGATCCAGATGGAGCCAGGTGCTGACCTGCAACTGGGTTTCTGCCCATTAGGTGTAGGCCCACCATGAATGGGTGTCTAAGCATTGGTTTGGGTTGTCAGATGACCTCTAGGTAGAAAAAAAAAAGGTGAGTGAGTGTTTTCTCTGACCCTAACCTATAGGAGCAATTGGCTAAGTGAAATGATTGGCACAGAGTGGAGATGTAAGACATTTCTTGAAGTGAATGGAATTGCATTCAATATCACCCCCACTCCCATCCCCCATCGGCCACCATCCTTGCTGGAAACTCAGGCTGCAGAGTCAGCAAAGACAACATCCAGGGTTGTCTCAGGAAGCTAAGGACAATGGATGCAAAGCCTACTGGCTACCAATATGGAGGAGACAGATGGCCATTAGTTGAAAGAACTGGGGGAGCACTGTTCTCCTAAATGTAATATTCAGGGGAGCTTCAAGGTTGCCCATTCCAGAGAGGCAGGCAGGAGTGATGAGCACATGTTAACCATTCCTGTGCCCTCTGAGCCCTTGGCAATTTAAATGGGAGAAAAGGGGAGCTAAGCAAGCTTGCATACAAATGCAACAGCCAATCAGGGGGCACCAGGCCCCAGAAAACAGGAGCATGTACAAAAGCCATCAGATTTCAGGGCAGCTCAAAATAGAACAATTAGTCATACAAACTGGATGGTGTGGATGGCTTGAATGAGTAATAGACCTGAATGGGTTTGAAAGGGTATGGTTTCCTTCAATGAACATGGTAGAGAAACAAATAAAACCTAGCTATGGAAGGCAAATGATCAGACTCAGAGGAAAAGAGAGAGGGTGAGGGAAATGAGGAAGCGAAAGGTCTTAGGCCCTAAACACTCAGTGGAGGAGAATCTATCTGGTGAGAGGCTCAGGTGGCTTGGGGGAGGTATACACACAAATCATTTCAGCTGAAATGTTTGCCCAAGGGTTAATCAGTGAAATAACTTGGGGGGGGGATGGGAGAGGGGAGGCGAAGGAAAGAATCTCAATGCACCCAAAAGCCAATGTAGTTGTATTTTTCGCATTGGTTATTTGGCCTCATGGAAGTCCAGGATACAATGGACACACCTGAGACTCAATACCTCAAGACAGGTCCTGAATACAAATAGGTCTTTGGTCTTGGGCAAAATCACTTTCCCTCTCTGGGCTAGTTTCCTCACTTATAAAATGAGGGGGTTGAAATTCTGGTTCCTGAGGAGAGATGATGAAACACAATTCCTTCCTCTTTGCTGCCTGGTGGAGGACCACAGGTGTGGAATGTTGTATAAGCTGTCAGATGTGGTCACTGTGTCAGCTGGCTTTCCTCAGTCATTTTTGTTTGTGACAAAAGAGGGTTCTTGGAGGAAGGGATATGTATTGGGAAGTGCCTATAACAGTATCAAAATAAAAAGCATCAATAACATTTTAAAAGAGAAATGAAGGGATTGGAGAGAGAGGGTGGGCAGCTAAGGGGCGCCACAGTGCACAGAACACTAGCGTTGGAGTCAGGAAGACTCGAGTTCCAATCCGGCCTCAGACACTAGCTGTGGGATTCCGGCCAAGTCACTTAACCTCTGTCTGCCTCAGTTTCCCCATCTGTCAAACGGGAATAATAACAACACCCACCTCCCAGGATTCTTATGAGGTTTAAATGAGATAAGATTTGTAAAAAGCTTAGCACATTGCCCAGCACTTAGTAGACTCTAAATAAATGCTTGCTATTATTATTATCATCATCATTATTATTTAATGGAAAGAATCCCAGATTTGGAATCAAAGGACATGGATTTTCCAATCTGAGCTCTGTTATTTACTACCTGTATGAGCAAGTATCTTCACCTCCCTATGTAAAATGAGAGGGGCTGGATGAGATGCCTTCTAATGTACCTTCCAGGTGTAAAACACAGGACTTTCCCAGGGGTCCCTTTTAACTCCGACATTTTAGGGTTTTCTGATTCTGTTTCTGGGAGAACATGGGTAAGAGCCACTCGAAATAGAAGACATGATTAGTTGGGAAGTGATTTGGGATCCACTGATAATGGTGAGGAGTGCGTAATGCATTCATTAGGTCTAAGCAATTTGCATGTGGCCAATTTAATCAACAACAACACCAGGATTTACTAAGGGGCACTGTCCAAATGAGCCTAACATCCTATGGATTCCAGAGGTAGAGCTAAGAATGATCCTATTGTCTCCAGTGAACTTCCTTGTGGAATGAGGAATTCAGAAGCATTAATATCCATCTCCTACATGGTGCCAGAGAAGTACAAATATTCAATAGGATTGAGAGGACCGGAGAGACTGTGAGTTAGATTGGAGATCCCATTAAATATTGGCCTCAGACAGAAAGACCAAGGAAGCAGCAGGGCTCAAGGATCCACAAAACTCCAAACCTCTGAGATTTGGAGTGGAGTACAGTGGGCAGCTCAGGACAGGGAAGAGAAAAAGGATGACATAAAGAAAGGAAGTGAGGCATGGGGGTGGGGCCCTGGGGCACAGCACTGAGCATTCAGGACCAAGGGCCTCAAAAGATGTCAAAGGAACAACCCAGACAAAGAAACCTTGTAGACAAAAGATTCTAGGGTTCTTTGAATCATAAGTGTAGGGCTTATGGGATCTCAGGCTCCTAGATTGTGGAGCTGAAAGGGACCTCAAGAGGTCAGGTAGTTCAAATTCCTCATTTTACAGAGGAGGAAACTGCAGCCCAGAGAGGGCAAGTGATTTACCCAAGGTCACACAGGGTAGATCTGGGAATTGATTTTGGACTATCAGAGTAATGAAGAGGAGAAACACTATGGGACTGGGTGACCAACAGGGGTTAAAACATTTCCCCGGGGGTGGGAGGTGGGGAAGGAGGGAGGAGGAAGCAATCTCTAAGACCAGACTTTGTCCTCTGGTTTGGGTATGGTTCTGCAAGGGGATGTCCAAGATGAATCCACAAGGTTCCTTTTGGTTTGGCAAAAGCTTTTAATCAGCAGGAACTCTCAATTCCCAAATGGAGGAATAGCAATACAGCAGGCCTTCAAGGAGACCTGGATAGGATTAGGGTGCTGAACAGAATACAAGATTGAATGAATGACAGCAAATTGGGTACCATTGCAGACTGCTGAATCCAATCTAAATAACAGGAGGAAGGGAAAGGGGAACAGAGGCTCAGAAATGAACAGGCTGATGAAACAGATACAGGGAGAAATGACTACAAACATGTTTCTTCTGATCCAGAAAAACCCTGAAGCAACAGCAGTGCAACCTACTAATGCTGCTGGGCAGTTTCTTTTCCTCTTTGAGGAGGGGCTTTTTTTTTTTTTAACAAGGCACACACTCTTAAAAGGTGGCTTAGGAGATTGCAAATTCTTGACTGCAGGGTGGAGAGATCTTGTTATTTCAGACGGATGCATAGTGCCTCTGCAGTCATGAATGATGCATTGTAAGCCCACTCCCATCGGCATCCCTCTGCTCAGGTACTCACAACTTCCTGAACAGTTTTCTTCTGGTACTGGAATTTGCTCTCTCTGACCTGATGTGAATTTTGTTTTCCAGATTGCTTTGAGTAGACAGAGACAGTCAAAGTCCATTCAGGGGATCGGGATTTTTCTTCAGAACAAATTCCTACAAGCCCTGATTGCTTTGTAATGTTGAGCCTGAAGTTCCAAAATGTGTCCATCTACCATTACCTTGCTGAATGAAAACTGTGGACAGTTCTTATTTCAAGGCTGAATTCCCTGCTGACATAATGGGAATCAATGTTGATTTTAGAGGAAAATGGGGAAGGTCAGTAGAAGACAGGCTGACCCCTCTTTCCCCACCCCCATCTAGTCATCTGTCTTTTCTCTATGACATGAGCTAACTTTAAGAATGACTTCCAGCAAATAGTGGGATCTCACAATGGTCTTAACTATGTTTAATTCCTTGTTTCGACCTTCATTATCTAAAAATTACTCATTGTACAAATTACACCCCACTTCAAAAATCCCCACTTGTCCCCTTTCTACATGATTAAACTCTCCCTCTATAATTATTCATGCCTTACTCTAACCTATGGAGCACACTGGGTAGAGCTCAGGTTTAGGACTTAGAAGACCAAGGGTCTTCTGATCTGCAAAGTTGTGGCCTCTGACAATTTCCCCTACCTGCTCTGCACCTCAGTTTCCTTATCTGTAAAATGAGACAGTTGGTATTAGAAGAACTCTGAGACCCCTTATGGCTTTTAAATTCCATGATTTGTTCACAACTTGCCAGAGTAATCTCATCTCAATTCAACTATCATTTCTGCATCTCACTGCAGGTCCATGTGTTGCTTAATTCTTATCTCATCTCACTGCTACCCTACCTTAGCTTAGGAACTGATGGCAGTTCATTTCTAACCCGGGCAATTTGAAGATTTCAAATGCTCAGACCTAATGAATAAAATACTTTTCACACACCAGAACATGTTGAGAAACTAGTCTTTCCTTTCTAAGGGCTCTGTGGATTTTCTTTTTTACCCCAAGCTGCTTTGATGAGAGTTAAGAGATCTGGGTCTTAGGGATTCAGTTTCCCTGAAAGTAAAATGTGAGGGGTTGGACCACTAGATCAATAGGGTCCCAGCCAGCTATGACACTCTAGGGGGCTATGCTGGGAGCGAAGTAGGGTGAGAAAAATAACTAATTCTACTTCTCAGTCTCTAAGGCTTGGTAAAAACCCAGTGTTCTTTCCCGCTCCCCCCCCCACCCCACTCTAAAGACCTTCCATTTTGAAAAGCACTCTCTCAATACAAATGACTACAGGTGCTTATAAGCTACATACCGTGGCCACAAAGAAGCCCAAACCCTGAGCCACAAATTAGGTTGAGCTTCAGATCAACAGTTTGGGGGCTTACTGTGCTCAAGCAAGCTTTTTATTGTATGTGGTTGGGGGGGCATAAGTCACTGGATCTCTAATATTTCCACATCCATGTAATTCTTAATGGACCTGACAGGATATTTGCACTTTGAAAGAGCTTTTCTAAGAGTTCAATTTTTTTTTCTAATCACCCAGCCTGATTTTCAATATTTTACAAGCACCTAGAAGGATGGACTTCAGAATGACCAGCCCCAGAATCTCCCAAGCAGCCACTGGCTAAATTGATTTGTGTGCAGTTCCCCAAATTCGGGGCGGGGGGCAACAATCCCAACTCAAATGTCACTTTCAGTCATGTGCCCACCAAGACATAAATCCCTAGATTTCTCAACAACTGCTCTGGCTCAGTGTGAGGAAGGGGTTACACTCTACCAGTTTGGGCCAGCTTTTTCCCAGGGCAAGGTGATATGATGAAATCAGAAAGCTACACCAATCCAACCCCGGAGCCATTAGCAGAGGAGGCCTCGGCCTGGCCTCTGCCTCAGTGGTCCGCTCCTTTGGGTAGCCTGTTTGTCTGTTATTCTTCCAGTCAGCTAGTGCTGATGACCTGGAGCTGTCTGGAGCTAGGACAGACAGGCGCGCGCGCAGGCGCGCGCGCGCGCGCCAATAGACACACATACATACATACACACGCAGACACACACACACACACACACACACACACACACACACAAAGGTATTTAAAGGTCAATGGGAGAGAAATGGATGGAGCTTCGGGCTTCTAAAAGGGGTGATTATGAAGAGTATTCTTTTGGTTTTCAAATGTCCAATTTGGAGTTTTCTCTAAGTGCTGACTCATGTCAATGGATTTCACTGTTTTCCCAGGCTGGGTGTAATCCACAGAGCCCAGGGCTAGGCAGCTCTAAGGAAAGCCAATCGATACATTGCATAGATAGATAGGGTGAGATAGAGACCTGGTTCTGTATTTAAAACTGCTAGCAGGCTACAGCCCCTCCACCCCCACCCCCCAACACACACACACACACACACACCACACACACAACACACACTCGCACACAAGCGCGCGCATAGACACACATCCACACACACATTCACATCCACATACCACACACACTATATTCACACACACCACACACACATATACACACACACATTCACACATAAGCTGAGGGAAGTTCCTGTCTACTGAGGTTTACTTACTTGGAAAGGAAGGCAGGTCCATGGCGAACAGGAGCAGGAAAAGGACTGAATCCCCAGGCTGGCTCAGGGGACCTTTTTCTGGTGAGTCTCTCAGTATCTCCACCTCTTCAGAAAGTCTGAATGAAAACTCCTCCTCCAGCGGTGGAGCCCGAAACAGAGGTACTTCTGTCTGCGTTCCTCTGACACAGCAGAGTGGGAGGGGAAAAAAAATTCGAGACCTGTTACTGGCAGATACTTTGTATAGGTTTTACATACAGATATAAATCAAGGGGCACATATTCCCCAAAGAAAGCCAGTCAGGGCAAATTCCCTCCTCCTCCTGCTGCTGGGGCTGCTGCTGCTGCTGCGGCTGCTGCTACTGCTGCTGCTCCAACTCCTCTCCTTCTCCTCCTCCTCCTCCTCCTTCTCTCCTTCTCCTCCTCCTCCTTCTCTCCTTCTCCTCCTCCTCCTCCTCTTTGACAGATGAAGAGAATGAAGGGAATGCAGTTGTAGCCTCAGTGTATCTCAGCAGACCAATAGCTATCGCTTGCGTGTAGTGCTCTAATCTCGCTGTGTTTGGGTATAATGGGGGGGCGGGGGGCTGCTGGCAGTTCGAGGTGCAGTGTGCTCACTCGGTTCTGCTGGCTAGCTGGTGAATATAGATGATTTCCGCAGGTCTTGTGAATGAGTTCCAGGGGAGGAGGGGAGAGCTTTATTGCTCCTTGGAATGTCTCTCCCTCTCCCCTTCTCTCTCCTCCCTTCCTCCTCTTTCCTCCTTCCCTTCCCCTCCCTTCCTCCCCTTCTCTTCTCCTCCCTTCCCTTCCCCTCCCTTCCTTTCCCCATCTCCTTTCCCTTCTCCTCCTTTCCCTTCCCTTCCCTGTCCTCCCCTCCTCTCTTCTCCCCTCTCTTCCCTTCCCTTTCCCTTTCCTCTTCCCCTTTGATTCTCTGGGCTAAATCTGTTGATGTTTGGCTAAGTGGCATCATTCAATTGAAATGGAATCGTCTCTGAGAACTCCCCATAGGAATCTCTGTATCCAGATCCTGGAATAATGACTGCAACGGAATTTACAGAGGGAAGAGGTGGGGGAGGGGCAGTCATAATTTTAAGGGGAATCTGTTTAAATCTTCCCCAACTCCCCCTGGCTACCAGCCATTCCCCATTTCACAGAAGCCTCTCGGTGGTCCAGTTTGATTATGAAAGGAGAAAGCTTCTCCTTTGCCTGAACCTCTCTGTCTCACCTGGGAGCTCCACTGACCCTGAGCATTCAGCACAAAGGCCTTTATGCTGGATGCTGGGTCACCACAGCAAAGGCTGTGGCAGTCAGGCAAAGGAGCTTCCTCCTCCACAGGTTGCTATGACATTGTGAGCCCTACCTTCTTCCTTCCTTCCTCCTTCCTCCTCCCTTCCTCCCTCCCATCCTTTCCTTCCTTCCTTCAGTTCCTTCCTCTCTCCTTCCCAATAAAGCTCTTCCTTCCTTCCTTTCTTCCTTTTTTCCTCCCTCCCTGTCTCCCTCCCTTCCTCCCCCAGCTCTTGGTTACCTACTGTATGTAGGGCCCTGTGCTGAGCCATCCCGAGCCAGGCTTTTCACCGGGATGCATGAATTAAAGAGAAACCCTAGGGCTGTTCCTTTGGGGGAGGTGCAGAGGAACCCAAGCATTTTCTCCCTGAACTCAGTGAGTGAGCTACATGCTAAGAAGGAGCATCAACGAGCTGCATTAGGAGACTGGGCTTTTCGCATCCTGCCTCATCACTGACAGACTGTGCAATCTAAGGCCATACACTTGCCAGCAAGAATAGCAACAACCAGTGCTCAGGCACGGAGGGAAATCCAGCGTTTGAGTCATTCAGGGTCACACCACAGAGGGCTAGAATACGTACATATGGTAACTGCATTAGACAAAGTGCTCCGTGGAATCTAGGGTGGGGGTGGAGATTTGTTACTGACCATGAGATCAGAGAAAGCTTCCTGGAGGAGGGGGATAAGGACAAAAAAAAATGGAAACTGGAGGGGGAGGAGGACACTGCAGGCATAGGGGTCAGCCTGAGTGAAAGCACAGGGGGCAAGCAAGCATTGTGCTTATTTAAGGCTCATGGAGTGTCCCAGCTTGCCTGGGATACAGAGTGTGTGGAGCAGATTGAAATGAGATGTCTGGAGAAATCAGCTAATATCAGATTGTGGAGGTCCTTGAATGCTAGGTAGATGACTTTGAGTTTTATTCAGAAGGCCATAGGGAGCCACTGTAGATTTTCCTGCAGAGGAGCAACATGACCAGATCTATGTATAAGAAAGATGATTCCAAGAGCAGCATGAAAGCTGGATGGGAAGGGGAGAAAGGGCCAGAAAGAAGTGTTAGGAGGTTCATGGCAGTAATCTAGGCGAGTGATGAGGACCCAGACTCTATTAGCCACTAGAGACTCTATTCCCTAGTAACTACAGGAATAGAGAGGAAGGGATGAATGGGAGAGAGGTTGCAGATGTGGTCTCAAAGGGCTTCGTTAAATGATGGGATAGGAAAGGTAGGGGAGAGGGGAGAGTCAAAAAATAACTCCAGGATTACACACACGGGTGATCAAAGGGATAGCAGTGTCACAGACAAACAAAGAAGACAGAATTAGAGTTAAGAGTCAGTGAGAAAGCTAATGAGCAATTTTAGACACAATGAGCTTTAGGTGCTGCTGGTGGGTCATTATGTCCTGAAGGTAGTTAGAGATATAGGGTTGGAACTCAGAAGAGAGGTCAAGACCTCAGAAGGTCAATAGAGATATGGGAGTCATAAGCATAGAACGAGCTGTTGGAGACATGAGAGTGGAGAGAGGGAGATGAGAGGAGGGGGAGAAAAGGGGGGAGCAAAGCCCAGATACTTAAGAACTGCCCACATTGAAGGAAGAGAATGAGGAATGAAGTGAGAAAAAAGAGGAGAAGAACTAGGTAACAATGTAAACTCTGAAACCAGAGTAAGAGAGAAGGATTTAGACAGCAGCTGGATAAGATAGAAGGACCAAAGTAAGGCTTATTTTAGGACTCCAGTGGGAGACCTTAGCCAGAATGTTTACAGGCAAAATGGGTAAGAGGCAATGATGTAGAAGAGATTGAAGGTGCAGGAGTGCAGGGATGGCTGCTGGGGCAGGACCCTGGTAGAAATGGTAGCCTTAGTAACTTATCCATCCATCCATCCACCCACCAATCAGTCAATAGACAAATATTTGTTAATTGCCTACTTTGTACTGGATGTTGTGCTAGTCATTGATGATACAAACAATGACATCCCAGCTCTCAGAGAGCTTTTGTCATATTGGGAAAAACAACATATATACATATAAGTATTTAAATTTAAAATTTAAAATTTAAAATTTAAAAATTTAAAAAATTTAACATTTAAAATTTAAATTTAAAAAATTTAAAATTTAAAAATTAAAATTTAAAAATTTAAATTTAAAAAATTAAAAATTTAAAAATTTAAAAAATTTTAAATTTTAAAAAAGGGGGACTTTCAGCTCAGGGATCATGAAAGACTCCATGTTGGAGGTGGCATGTGAGCTGAACTTTGAAGTGAGCTATGTGTTTCAAGAGTCAGAGAACATTCCAGGCATGGAATGCCTGTGCAGAGATAGAGACAGGAATTAGAATGTTGTATATGAGGAAGGATATCTAGGTGGTCCAGTGGATAGAGTGCTGGGCTTGGACCTGAGTTCAAATCTGACCTCAGACGCTTACTAGCTGTATGGCCCTGGACAAATCACGTAACCCTGCTCGCCTCCGTTTTCTCATCTGTAAAATGAGCTGGAGAAGGAAATGGCAAATCCCTCCAGTGTCTTTGCCAAGAAAACAGGGTCTTAAAGGTGATGAAATCCTAAGAGATGGGGATCTCTGAAGTGTGTGACTGTAGGTGTGTGGCTGAGGCAAGACACAGATGGTGGTTCCTAGCATTGAGGAAATCAAAGATTGGTGTGGTCAGCTTGTCAGGAGAGTTATGAACATGAATTGAAGTTCCCCAAGGATGATGACAGGAAATGGCATAGAAAGGAAGACCCTTTCTGAGTAATGATGGTATTTAGAAATTTGAGGAAATGACCCAGGGATGTCTCTGTGTGCCACAGTTACCCCATCATTCACATGACATGGAGTTGCTAGTGGGCAATACTATGGTGTAATGAAGAGAGCTAAGGACACAATTAGAAAAGTAGACAGCCCCTTCCCTCAAGGAGCTCCCATTCTACGGGTGAGACAACATACAGGGAAAGTTTCAGCTACATCAGATGGAAAGTCCCCATGGCCCTTGGGGCAAAAGCAGATGGTCAGGCCTCTTCTGTAGTCATTTCCACTGATAAAATTATTTCATTTTCTGATGTTGAACCATTGGACGGGGCCAACAACTTTTGGTGGCGTGAACTCTCCTTTCCGTGTTTGTATTATCTGCTAAAGCAGTCCCCAGACTGCATCTCTACAAGGAGGAAGGCTGAGGGCACTAACCTGGAAGGGAGGTTCTTCAGCTCAGGGGCCTGGGCTGTCCCCATCAGGGTCTGAAAGGAGATGGTGGTTAAGGGGCTGGTGGTGGTTTGGTTTGCTTCTCACATGCAAATGAAATCAATGGCTAATATTTGGTTTTTAAACCTTTTTAGAACAAATTATTACATGTTCACTGATATATCAATTCATCGATTTTGAGAAAATCCAAAACTAAAGTTTGGGTATTAAGTGATTCTCCTGATACAAAGATGTATGGGAAGACTTAATTGAAGTGATTCAGAGTGAAGCAAGCCATACTAATATTATTTGGCATTTAACATCCTGGATACCCCATCTTTCCAGACTTTTTCATTACCCCTCCTGAACTTGATGAACATGATGTGTGTGTTTTTGTTTTTTTGTGGTGAGGCAATCGTGGTTAAGTGACTTGCCCAGGGTCACACAGCTAGTAAGTATCAAGTGTCTGAGGTCAGATTTGAACTCAGGTCCTCCTGACTCCAGGGCGTCTCTTCTCTTACTTCTATGATTTTGCACCAGTTGTTCCCCCCACCCCCAACCCGGTCCACCTCTTAGAATCCCTAGCTCCAAGATTCGCCTCGTGTCACCTCCTAGAGAAGGCCTTTCTGGAGTGCTCAATGCTCCCCACCCCAGAGATTGTATAGAGTTGATTTTCTAAATCCTTTGTAATTAGTTGCCTGGATACACAGTGTTTCTTACCTGTATTTTCACTATATAACCAGTGCCCAACACCATATTGAACATAAAGTAGATGCTTAATTAATG